AGAGAAGAGAGAAAACACAGTAACAGTTTAATATAAAATATTTATATTAAAGCTTTTTATTTCATACTATCGTAATATCAATATCATGTATCAGCCAATATTGTTATATAGCCTGTATAAATTAAATAAATGAGTACATTAGAGAAATCAGAATTATTTAAATTATTGTCTGTTTAAAGTAAGATTGTCAACGGATACACAAAATTAAAAATTATATCCAAACACAGTACAGATCAAATAAATTATGAAAGGGGAAAATAAAATCAAAACGTCAGTAAGTAATATTACTGTGACAAGAAAACATCTAAACCACCGCTGATTATAAATACATCATCCGACATTGCCAATATACGTGACCCCTCCTATGTCAGTCAAACATAGACATTGACATATTACAATTTGCTATAAGCAAAGGATTTTCTTATTTTGTCTACTGTATGGTTAATGTAAGCAAAATATAAAAATACAGAACGAATCTAATTTCTTATATAGAACAATTAATTTAATTACTAATACTGCGTTCATATTAAATCGTTTTGGAAGTAGATGGTTTACTTCCAAAAACCTCGCAAGTCTATTTCACTTTCACCATAATTACTTATTTAAATAATTATAATTGTTAAATAAATAATTGTTTTCTAAGTTTGTCAATTTAAAAAAAAATAAATCTGTATGTACACATAAAAGGTTTTAGAATCAGGCCAACTAAATCTACAATTTACTAATTTATCTGTTTAAATAAGCCAGTATTAAATTTTTACATCTAAAAGTGTGTACGACTATTCGCACGAAATGAGCAATAAAAGCTCCAGCTTCAGTCACAATGGTGAATGTTGAGTCACGGACGTATAAAAGAAAAAAAAAAATTAATCGCTGCCTGCCCTAATGCCAAAACAACAAACGCCTCCTTGAGTCACTAGTAAAGGAATGAAGATAGCCTTTTTTCTACTATCTACGAAATATTTAGGTCGAAAAGTTAAATTTTAAATGTTGAAATATCATTTATTAATCTTAATTAACATTATCGTATTTGGTATACGATCATTAAAAAAATGGTTATATGCTTGAAATCTCAATTTTTAATATCGTTTTATAGTTAATGATTTCTCAATGAAATGCTTAATAAATGATATTTTAATCGGTCTTGTAATTTTTAAACTTAAATACTCTCAAGTAATACTGTTTTTTCCCAACTTCACAAACTGAAGCACAGGCGGATTTACGGGGGGCGGTACTTTCGGGCTGAAGCCCCCCCCCCCAAAATGGTAAAATCTAACCATGTTTTATGGTAAAAAATATTAAAAAATTATGTCTTAAGTATTATTGCTCGTTTAATTACATTTAATAGAACTTAAAGAATCACTTAAACACCATTTCATACGGATAGTTAGTATCTTTCTGTTTTTCTAAAGTAATTATCGTTATATATATGAAAAAAAAGCTTCCGGGCTGAAGCCCCTCCCCCCAAAATTAAATCCTGGATCCGCTAGTGAACAGAAGATATCTGTTTATCTACTCTATTCTTTCTCTTCTACTTCCCAATCTTCTTCGATGAAATTTGATAAAAAATATAGATAAATGAAATCTCTCACCTCTCACCTCTTCTTAAAAACAGTTCAAGTAAAAGTAGAATTAGAAAAATCGCATATTAAATACTATCACAATTCCTGCAGTCTTTTCCATGCTTCCCCTTAGTCTTTTAGTTTAAAACTTTTCATGAGAAAAATTCATAACTCTGTTTAAATGTATCCCCTCCAAAATTAAAAATCCCGTCAAAATGTGTCTTCATCAAAAAATTTGATAGCACAACTTGCGAATACATAACAAAATTAGATGGGTGAAAGACACAATGATTCGAGATTTTCCTGACGATTAAGATCTGAATGAAAAAATAATAAATAAAATTAATATTTCTATGATTTATAAATGCCCAAGGCCAACACTGATTATTGTTTTCCAAAACTGACATTTCGTTTTAAAGGAGATTTGATAAAACTATCCGTATGTTTTTTAAAAATGTAAAATAAAAAATATATAAACAAAACAAAGTTATAATATTAAAGACATTTCACTGAAAATTTCAATAAATAAATCTGATAAAACGTTTTTTTTTTTATTCATTGATATGTATAACTGTATTATAAAAAAAAAAAAAATACAACTAGTAAATGTGCACACAGTAATAATACAATCGCATGAAAATGCTTGTTGAGAAACTACCCATTGGTAGCACTCTAATAATATATTTACATAAGTAGATCACGAGGCCATCTTCTTTTCAGACGCCTCGGAGGGTTATCAGGGATCGAGGAGGAAGCAAGGTTTGAAACGAGAGGATTAGGATGGTTCTGGAGTTTGTTATGGAAGGATAGGTATCTGGATTGGGCCAAATCGGAAACATATGGAGCATTAAGGTCTTTATGTATGATTTTATTTGTGTCAAAGTAAGGAGCATTGAGGATTTTACGAAGGATTTTGGATTGTAAGGATTGGATACGAGAGGAATTCGATGGTTTAGTGGAGCCCAAAGCTCAATTCCATTAGTCCAAATAGGTCTTATTATTGTCCTATATTTGAGTCGTTTGTAATTGATTGAAAGCTTAGAGCGTTTGTCTAGTAAGCGTAGGAGTAATCGGAAACCTCGAGCAGTTTCTTGTCGTTTCAGTCTTGTATGAGGACTCCATGTGAGTCGTTTGTCCAGATGGAGTCCAAGGTAACGGATTTGTTCAACTAGGATAAGTGGGGAATTATTAAAGGATACTGTAGGACAGGAGGTCACGAGTTTGTGACGCAGGGTAAAGGTAATTTGATGAAAATTATTGGAATTTATTTTAATTCTGCAGTTTTTAAACCATTCTTCAATGTTTGTGATATGTGATTGGAGAGTTTGGGATGCAGTTGATCATTACTAACAGATAGGATACATGTGTCATCAGCATATGTGGTATGAAAGTGACAGGATGGGTTGGGATGTCAGCTGTATAAACTGTGTAAAGGATAGGACCAAGGATACTACCTTGAGGTTGATAAAAACAAATCTAGAAAAAAAAATAGTTTTACCGATCACCATAAGGATCAGAGGATCGTTTGTTTAGAACAATTAATACAAATTTTATAGACACGCATAATATCATAACTTTTCATAATTCTCCATCTTACAATTGCAGCCGATCATATATTATTTAAATCTAAAAAAACAGAATTAAATAACGGGCAAACGATAAGCATTTCTGACTTAAGAACTCAGATAGCATATCTTTAGCAGTTGTTTTTTTTTTGGTAAATGTTAAATTATAGTAATTTTATTATTAAAATGTTACTGATACATCTGATTAGTTCGATTTTTGGCCGTTGACTTGTAGATTGCTTTTATTATTATTTTTATTGAAATAATAATAGATAAATGTTGACATCTCAAGAAGTATGAAACAAATGCCTCTTTAAAGGTATCGTTGATACAGCAAATAATCTGTTAAGCGTATCATCTCATTGGCCTTGAGAAACAGCTAGTTTACGCTTTTTGAAAAGAAATTTAAATAGTAAAATCTCGCTCAATGAACACTACAATTTGCTAACCGGTGTCTTAATTAAGGTTTCTTATCATTGTTAAATTTTATAATAAAGTACAATATAGATTTTTAAAAAGAACGATAAAGATAATTAGATGACGGATTCTGAGCTGTATTTGGGTCGAAACGTAAGCTGGTAATGATTAAAAACACAATGTTCTGTTTTTTAAAGCTCCTTTGAGTGATTTCCTGTTAAGTAGCTGCAATTAATTAAATGGGAAATATTTATAATTTCAAACTAATCTTAACACTTTCAATTTCATATTAATTTTACATTGTGAAAATTTGATTTTTTACAATAAAAGATCGAATTGTATTTAAACATATACTCGAATTATATCAAAAGTAATATAGAGATGGATTAATAGTTAGCTGTTGAAATTACAAGATTAAAAATAATTAGGATTTGCAGTTAGTAATATTTTTATTGCCGACAATTTGACCAAATTGTTTATATTTTTATTAATTATTGGGTTATTTATTTCTACACTTATATACTTATATTTTTTTATTTATTTATAATTCAAAAATATTTTCTTAGCATATTCTTATGTTTTTATTACACTTATGTTTAAATTACCGTCATCTCATGTGTACGTCCCATCTTTTTTTCTCTTTTATTTACATACTTTTGTATTTTTCATTTTTCTGGTATATTTTTTCTATTTTTTAGTTTTTAGTCCTACTGATGAACCATATATTTGGGTCGAAACGCCGGCAAACTTGATAAACATGATTACTGACTGCACATACCAGTTATTTTGCACCTTTTTAAAAATTAATAGTTTTTCATGACTTCTATAATAATATTTCCCCTAAATATTTGTTAACCTTAAATCTAAATATATATATATATATATATATATATATATATATATATATATATATATATATATATATATATATATATATTTATATATATATGTTTATATATGTATATATATATGTTTATATATGTTTATATGTTTTTATATATATATATATATATTTAATATATATTTAATATATATATTTAATTAAATATATATATATATATATTATAAAGCAGTGGTTAAATACCTATCCAAATAATATTTTTTACTTTGTAATTATTGGTCTGATTTGGAGAAAAGTTCCATTATTATACCAATAATGAATAGTATTGAATAATGTTGTTTTATAATGTATTAAATAATGTTAATTTCTTTAAAAAATAGTCAATACCACAATTCTTAAATGCTGACATATTGTATACAAACATGAACAAATCAGAAACAAAAGTGTTAAATAGAATCAGCTATTTTCAATAACAATATCATTATAGTTAACGTTAATTGAAAATTTAAAGTGTGAATGGGTGAGCTCGGCAAATATGACTTGATGTATTTGTTGTTTCTTTGCAATATTTTGAGTCCTCAATAATATCTGAAAATAAAAAAAAAGATAACTTACGGTATTGGTACAAACAAGATCCCTGCTACAAGGTTCGTTCGCAGAGCAAGATTCATCCTCCTTGTTGCCGCATAAGAATGGACAGCAGCCACATGGATCCGGTACAGGGTTCATACAAAACACGACGCAATTACTGGTGTCGCAGGTAGGACAAGCTGCCCAGACTACGACGAACCGGAGGATGAGGAGTACAGCTAACCAAGACATCATCTCTAGTCTCACCTTCAGTTACGGGGGGCCCATATATACTCGTCCCCCACTACCGGCAATATTCCGCATCCGCGCTTCGAATTAGCGGGAACGATTATTATTTAAAGATGAATAATTAATTAAAAGATATTGCTAGTAAATAAATATTTATAAAGCTTTTAAATTTTATCTGTATCTTAAATGATAATCTAAATATTAAAGTAAAACTATTAAATTATAAAAATATTCATAAAATATAAACAATTTTCTTGTGCGCAGTCAAAATTCTAAACAATTATTCAAAAATTTTAATTTGTAAATTAGCAATCTGAGTTTCTGATACCATAAACTTGATACTAAAAATATATAAATGAATATAGAACAAAACGAAAGACATTTCGCGGTTAAACTTACCGCCGACTCAATTCGATTATGAATATGGGATCGATAATGTAATATTGCTTTAATTAAGTAAGACGATGAATATCCAAAGATGTTCCTCTATAGATTAATATAAATAAAAATAATTCAGGTATTGTTTTTGGTGTAAAGTTTTTAAACGTTACTGGGAATCAGTTGTCGCTACTACTTCTCTTCCATTTTATAACTTGGAGCACGTTGATTTGAATACCATTATTTTATGTTTTTTAATTTTATTTATCTAATAACATAACATCAAAAGGAATAGTTATATTTTATAATACATACCCTTGAAAATCCAGTTATGAAAATAATTTAAATTATTTTGTAACCGTAACACCAGAAACTATGTAGTTATAACCTGTAACCAGTTCCATCCAAAATAACGTTATACGAATTAGTAAGTTTAATCAGTTTCTGAATAGTGCAACAACACAGCATAACATAATTTTATTTTTATTATTTTCTATTCCCCAATTAGAATTATTGAGTAAATATTAAATGTAATTTGCGAATTCATATCATGAAATAAAAAATAGAAAATCGTGTTTCTGCATGATCTTTGATTATTAAAAAAAAACTGTAAACATTTAAATTTATGAAATAATCAGATTTTTATAGACTATCCTGGTGAAGTTTGAATAAATTGTGTTTTAAATTTGGATCATCATACTTTTCTTTTAAGTAATTGAAGTTTGCAATGGAAGGAAAATGATTCATTGATTTATAGGGCTGATAATCGGGTTTTTCCTAATTATCAACATTCCAAACTGCTAAGATCACTCATACTAGTAAGAAACCCAGAAATAAAAAACAGATGTAGGATCAGCTTTATCAGATACTGAAATAGGCAAATGAAATTTTCTCAGTAATGTGAAAGCTTAATAGAAGTCTGATAGGCATCTTTATAAATACATGTATGCATTAACATTTTATGATTCAAAAAATATTTGGATGAACTGTTTAAACATTCAAATTCCTGATGATCTTTAATAAATAATTTAAATAGTAAAATCGATGAAAAAATATTTGTTTGTTGTTGTTTTGTTTCAATAATCTATTAAATCAAATTTAGCATGAATCATCGCTCTATTGTTGCGATATAACAATAATATCAAGAAGTGATACTAAAAAATATTTACAAATAAATATAAATGTATCTATTCAAGTGGATTAGACTTACTCATTTTTAATTATTAGTTTATTAATTAAATTGTTTCTAAAATCCATATCCTATCATCCTTGAACGTAAATCTAGAGCACAAATGATAGAGCACTACAGATTTCAATTGAACTGAAATGTATGTATTTAAATTTCATAAAAAGAATCGAAAACAAGAAGAAAATGAAAATATTGTTACAAACTTAATATATATGCTGTACATAATAATATAACATAGTCAAACTATTCTACTACGGCATCTAAGCATTCTAATCATAGATAAAATAACATTAAAATCAAGAAGACTATATAACACAAACACTTAAATATGATAGGTTTTCAATTAGCATCGGATATTATAGATTAGAGATATGTAATAAAAAAAGTAAAAGAAAACTAACGAAATTGACAAATTACCAGTTACTAGTTGATCTAGGGGTGCCCATCACCCCTAAGGTTAATGACGCATGAGACTCCTACCCTTCTTTTATGATATTTTATTGCTCTTCTCTTCTTGAACACAATGTAAGCGAAAGTAGAATTTAAAAAATCATAGATCATATTATGATTATATTTTCTGCAGTCTTTTCCATGTTTCCTCTGATTTGCAACTTTTCATTCCGAAAATGTACCCCTCTCAAAAATTGAAAACCCCACCAAAATGTGCCCCCTCAAAAACTTTGATGGTGCAACTTGCACCATGAAACGCTCTTCTGGACACCTCTGAGTTGATCAATTTTTGTTAGGGTGATAAGGAAATCATGGATAAGTAATTATGTGATGAATTAAAACAACAATTACAGAGTAAGTAAACAAAATGTGACATTTATTTCCATCTGTTCTTCTACATTATTGATATCTGATAGCTTACATCTACTTACTAAAATAACTAAAATATTACGTAATGTATACGAAAGAAATCTAAAAAGATAAACTTGGTAATAATCTGGACATTTATGATTAAACATATAAGAAGCACAAACATCTAGAAACACTGCAAGTTACACACATAAAGTAAAGGAGGATTATAGATTGTCGACATCAACTTATGATACTATAACTTTTGGTACATTAAATATATCCTTCCAGTAAAAAACTAAACCATCAGAACAACAATAAGATATAAATGAATAATATTGTGTACATTTTTTAATTTATATTTTTAAACTCCATTTTTACAATCTTATGGTGCACAAGAATTTATTTTTGATATAAGGTAACAAAACAAATTTAACAAGTGCAATTTACTCTTGAAAATAAAAAGCATATGCAAATTAAACAATTTCCAATATTTACATTCAGTATCTGGTTTTAAATATATGTTTTAAAAACTATGTATATGCAAATAATGGGATTTATTAATATTAAATATACATTCATGATCATACAAGTTTTGTAATTAAATATCTTTATAACACAATATTTCTCAGTTTAAATAAATATATTTTAAATACTCATACTTATAAAAATTTTATATTCATAGTAATCTTATGAAACTATATTTTATTAGCTTTGCAATCTCTTACATTTGATGCCAAAAGTAATTTGAAGTAGAGTGTGAAATAATGCTTGGCTATTAAAATTTTTAAATATTACCGCTATATATATAATCATAAAAAAAAAAAAAAATCACTCAGAAATTAAATCAGTTTAAGCTGTTTTACATTAAGTTATAGATATTTCTCTTCCCCTCTCTCACACCCAGGAATAGACTTCATGTCTATCTATTAATATTAGAAGAATTAGAAAACAAAGCTCTAAAGCCAGGACTACAAACCTAACCCACACCGGTAGGCTATTAAATTAGTATTTGAAATTTGCTTAATGATTTGAAATAATTTTCATAAATGTTTTTCAAATTTGTGTTTGTGAAAACAGTTATTCAAAATAAATGCCATATTACAGCTCTAGCCACATTAGTAGTCCATATCAGGGGTGCCTGTCCCCCCTCTCCAAACATTTTATTACTCTCCTCGTCTTAAAAAAAACAGTGCAAGCGAAAGTAGAATTTAAAAAAAATTATAGATCATATAAAATTACTCTTGCTGTGGTCTGTCTCATGTTTTCCCCTAGTTCTCTGTTTTTAAACATTTCTCTCCAGAAATTCACAACACCGTCGAAATGTGCCTACCTCAAAAATTCAAAATTTACCAAATTTCGATGGCGCAACTTGTTTCATGAAACCCACTTCTAGGCACCTCTGGTCCATATCTGTGAAAGGCAGGTGCTGAATACATATAGTACTGCCTAAATAGTCATTCTTTTTCAATTTTTATAGAATTTCCATTTACTTATTCTTACCAAAAATAGTAAACTTTATGTTGGTCTCACAATAAATAACTCAGAATTTCATAGTCAAAGGGGGCACATTAATTTTAATTACATATTCAATATTATTTTCAAGAAGATACTTCAATCCCCTTTTATGTAGTGCAGACCCAAACAAAAGAATGAAGCAAATGTAAAGAAGGAAGAAATAGTATTCGTAATGAGAATATAAAAGTAGGCTGTAAGTTACTAACACTGATATGAACCCAGCCCAAAGAACATAAAGTAAGCAGAGTTATTTGACTTAATGACAAATAAGGTCAATGATGAAGAAGGAATTATTAGAATAATTAGTCTTAACATATGTGATTATAAATGATATACATGTTTAAAAAAATTCAAGGTTAAATCTATCAAAATTCATCTCTATAAAAAATGTCTTGGATCAAAAGATTAGTAGGAGAATTTGGTTAAATATTTGAATAAGAAAGTGTGAGATAAAATAAAGCACACACAAACAAAAAGCTTTATTTTCTTGTGTGTTGATGTTTTGGGCTAACTTTTAGACCTCCATCAGGCCTGTTCGCCAATTTTACATCAAAACTAGAGCCAATGAAGCAACCTCTGATAAAGGGGTAGAACTTAAACCAAAATATCAGCACAAAAGAAAATTAAGCTTTTTATTCATATGTACTTTCATCTTAGACCCCAACCCCAACCAGCTACTACTATTTGATCTACGGTCAACAATATCTTCACCATTACGAAACAATAATATTTTGAGCCATACTATACTAAAACGTTTAAAAAATTCAAATTTTTATTAATATTTTATTGTTTTTTAATTCTGCTTGTGGCTTACCATTTTTATTTTAAATAAACTAATAATAGTAACGAAAATGAAAACAAGATATAAATGTTTACCTCTGTATAATTATTTTTTTAGTACTGTAGGATGGGTTAACTTTGGGACAGCAGGTAAAATTTAGTTTGTGGTGATTCCGTGGTGGATACACTGTGTTGGTTCAGTCTGCAAAAATGTGCATTGTGAAGGCATGTACTACGTTACTATCTTGCGTGAGTTTGAGAATCCTAGTTTACTACACTCGTCGTGCAGTTAAGTTTTATTTATTTTCATTGCTTTATCAAATTCTTGTTTTCATGAAACTTTCGCTTGTGCCTCAAGAGTAGTGTGCCGCAAGGTAGTAGTGCAGCACATGCGCTGTCCCTGCTAACAGAACCAACACAGTGTATCCACCAAGGAATCACCACAAACTAAATTTTATCCACTGTCCAAATGTCACCTACCCAGTCCCAAATGTATATTGAAACAATAATGACTGATATTCTCTACGAAACTTCACAGCCAGTATTTTATTTTGATTCTACATTTGACTAGTAAAAACCAAGCTTTTTCACACCCCAGTTTTAAATTGCTACAATACATCATTTTACTGAAAATATTATTTGTGTTATGTTTAAAATCTATACTAATTAAATTCTAACACATTTTTACTTTTACTGGTCACTACTGCTAATTAAGATTCAAATGTACTTAGAATTATCATACATCACAATTGACTATAACCTTTTTACTTTGGACATCTTTGGTAATATATACAAATGAGCATACAAATCAAATGCCAAACATTTACAAACTGCATTTGAATTAATTTCTAGTGGCTTTCTAACCAATTTTAATTTTTTTTCTTGTTTTCTTCCAGATGTGTATTTGTTTCTTTTTTACTAACTATCAAGATTGGATGTGTTAATATGTGATGTTTATTTTGATAATGGATTAATGAATATAGTAAATTACACAATACAAAAATATATTACATCCACAATTACATAAATGTTGTAGTATTCTTTGTATATAAACAAATACAAAGTTTAAAAGCCCACAGAACTTTTTTTTTGGGTCATTCCAAATTAATGTCTGAGTATAACAAAATTTATTGCAAGTTAAAATATTAATTTGAACCATATTAGTATTGTGATTATATTTTGAGTATAAAGAAATGTGAAGAAACTTATCAGACATAAAAGAACTAAAAAGTTATTCATGTCATTGAGTTATTCAGGATTATTACTAAAACATTGAAAAAATAGCCATTTAAAGCTAAATTGATAAACATGGTTTCATTACCCATTAAGCTCTAAGCAAATGGAAATTCAATTGTTGAAAAGCTTGGTATTATTTTCTCCTTTAAAAATGATAATTTTTGTTTTTTAACTTTTTAAAATTAAATTTTAGTTATTTATAATTGTTAAATGTTGAATAAACTGATTCAATAGCATCATGCAATGGAGAGTTGTTAATTTTAGCTATCATTATAAAAGATTAAGTGGAAATATAACAATATAAGTAAAAGTTTATTATATTTTCACAAAGATATAAATGACTTGGAATGACCCTATTGAAAAAAATACCTTAACTGATCTTTATTTCTTTAAAAAATCAATGGTGTCTATATACAAGAGGATGTTGATGGTAGTGGTGCATTGTTGATAATCCACTGACACCAGGGCTACCAGGTGGTGGTAGTGGTTTGAGTGCAATTGGCAGTCGGTGAACCACACCACCTGGCTTGTGTAAGCGGTGGACAAGGTGTACCACCTCGGCGGGCAGGGCGCAACACAGCTCTCGTCCTCACCATCTCGCCAACACCACAAGAAGAAGAACATCCTCCCCACTCTCCCCATTCACCAACTTTACAGTCTCGAACCAATCCTGAAATCACATCTTCTATAATTTCAACAGTGGATAAAATATAAAAATAAATAAAAATCGAAAAAGGATAATTATAGATACAAGGATTGTTAAGAAATAATTATCCGAGGTAATGATGAATGAATTCTATACAAAACATTAGAGGAGGATATTACCTAGGTATTTATCAATTAGTTGCTGTCCACTGAGAAAAAAAGAAACCTTATGTCACAGTAGAAATATCAAGATATTTTATACACGTCTGCTACTAACTAAATTTTAAAGTTTGTTTGTATTAAGCTTTAAGCCTTTTAGATTGGTATCAAACTAGCATTGATCAAGCTTGGTAACTTGCTGTGTCCACAGTAAAAATATGTACTCTAAATTAACTTTAGGATTTAAAATAAATTTTAAAAGATTCACAGAAGGAATTAAATTGCATTAAACCAGATCCTTATTTTAAAGCATTGCTTTTCCACCAGGTAATAATTTATTAAGAAATTAAATGTTCAAGTAGTCTGAATATTGCGGTAAAACTTCTTCCTCTGTCACCCCTCAGCCCGCCATACTCTCAGCCCCAACACCTCTCCACCTGACATGAGGTCTTCCTCTTCTTTCCCTATCCTCGGTCTCCCACTCAAATGCTGTTTTGGTAAGTTGTTCACTATTCATCCTTTTCATATGCCCATACCACTTTAATCTTTCATTATTTCTAGTATATTATTCTTAACTTCCATCTTTTCTCTAATGGTCTTATTTCTGATTCTTTGCATCCTAGGAACTCTAACCGACCTCCTCCAAAAATCCATCTCTACAGTTAGAAATCTTTTGCTCGGTGATTTTTCGAGTGGCTACATTTCCAAACTATAGAGCATTATGCTCTCTACCAGGACCTTATATATTAATTTCTTTACTATTGTATAAATATTTTCACTGCAGAGCACTGAATTGAGCATACCAACCGCTCTCCACACGTTTGTCACTCTTTTTCAATATCCTGCCTCACTTTTCCATACTTTTCAAGTGTTGAGCCAAGGTAGTAAAATTGATGTACCCTACAAAGCCTGGTAAAAACTGGATCACTCAACTCATCGTTCTGTGTCGACATATATTTTGTTTTATCATAATTATTATAATTTAAATATAAATAAATTTTATAAGTTCTCAATTATAATGCTTACAGATTTGGCAATAAGAATAAGTATAATTATATAGTAATACAAATTGGTAATAAGGCGCGATGTATAATATACATTTTCAAAAAAACTAAAAATTTGTCTGAACTGTGGTTTTGTTCTGTTTATTTAATGTTGATAACAACTAATACAATGTGAACTACATAATACATTTTAATTACAGTAATACAATTTGAGCAATGAGTAGTACAATTAAATGAACAGTTGTATAATTAGTAAAATGGGGTTGGTCAGGGAGTACCCTCCCCCCCCATGTCATTCATGATTTTTTTGTATATATTAATTTACAAAACATTAATTAAATTATATTAAATGAATTTTCATTTAAAAAAACAGCCTCCGTTGCTTGCGCTATAAAAATGTTTGTTGATGGTGCTTGAAAAGTATCACATTGACAGTATCAACTTAACAGTGATAGTGTTCCACCATTTATCTAATAGCACCAAAAGTGTTCTGCCTCCATAAAAGATTGAGAACCACTGTTATATTCATAAACTGTCATCATTAACATAACACAAGGCATGCACATGGCCACATGTTTTGCCACATATGTTTTCATTGAATTGGACACGAATACAAAGAAAATACTACCTGATCAGGTAATTTTAGTTCATTCTATTTATGGTATTAATACGCTTTACCCACAGTAAAATAAACATTACCACTTCGGAGAATTTACACGTTGAAAGAGGCTATTCAGAATAAGTCACACACAGTGGAGCTATGAGTCTGGTTTTATTTCTAAAAATTATTCCTCAATAATCAGTACTTAATAAAAATTATAAAGTAGAACAAAATTAGAAGAGACAGAATAATTATTATACTGATATTAAAAATATTTACTTTCAATGAATCATTTGAATGTTTTTATTATACTTACTGGACTTCTTAAAAGTTGGTTTAAAGAGTCTTCCTTCTTGGTCATGATAGGTTTCTACAATACTATTCAGAATGGCATTTGTATCACCTTTTCTTATTATGCCTGGTCCTAATGGACGTGGTGCTTTTGCTGTTGGAACTGGTACTCTGTAAAAAAAAACTTTAATGTAATAATAGCCAAATTATAAAATAAAAGTTTGATTGTCCTGTATGTTGAGTGCATTTATTAATTTTAATTACATATGATATCATACTGCAGGTTAACTGTAATAAAGCTTATAGCTGTAGGTTGTCCACACTTTTGGAAATAAACTAATATTCTCGATAATATGTTTCCAAAAATTAAAATTCTCTCTTTTTAAAGACATACTATAGTATGGACTATCTCTGGGTAATTGAAATAGTTCCTCTTTGAGATTGAGAAACTATGTAATAATTTGGTTTCCTATGGTTTAAATAAATAAATCTTGACTACATATCTTGACTGACAGTTGTTTATTTATGAAATTAAAGAGCAATCTTTTTTTTTTTTTTTTTAGTTTGTTAAATCAAAAAAATAAATATTATGTTGTTTATTTTTTGTATTTTTAGAGTTGCCAAACAAATGTCGGCTAGACACAAGATCCCATTGATCACATTTAAAAAAAAACATTAATATGTAGATCTACTATCACTTACATGTAATTGTCACTCATAGTTGTCGTTTTCTCTTGCATTAGCCTTTCTTGTTCTTTAGTTTCCTCTTCTATCTCCTCTTGTATGTCTTCATTTCCATTCATCATATTAATTTTGTTCTGCTGATCAGACCTCACTACTTCATACTTTTTATCATCTTCACCATGATGGAATATTTCACTTGTTTCATATTCTCTCATCTGAAAGAAATAAAAACATATTACTCCATCAAATATTGGATGAGAATAACATATTTTTAATTTTATGAACATGTAATAAAAATTAAAAAACATTTTGTAAATTCAACTTCTAGTCTAGACTTAGGCTATGGATTCACATTCATGAGACCTTCTTGGGATAAATATAGTATCTCTAAAACCCTTTGTTTGGTTCTAAAAATGTTTGGAGGAAATATTAGTTACGAAGACTCGGGCAGGGATGGATGTATGCGTTTAATGATAAAAAATAGAGCAGAAAGGTTGAAAAAACTAAAAACAACTTTTCAACAACTTGTTGGAATATTTCAAAGTAAACGAATAAATAGTTACTGTTGCTGGATATAACTTAGAATTAAGAAAGATGAAAAAATCAATTAATTATGAATTTGAAGGATTTTTTCATAATGAAAAAAGTAGTTATTTTGTATTTTGAAACTTTTTTTCCCTAAATAGTAAGGTGGAAGAATGTTGCATAAACTGGAGAAACAGTTTAATATGTTGCTAATTGTAATTTATATATGTATTACTTGTAAATGCTTATTGTTTACATTTAAAATTAATATAATATAAATTAAATACAGAAACTTATAAAGAATTTTTTCTCCACTCCTTCTTATCAGTGTAAAATAGTTTTGGATCCTGTGGCAGTAGCCCAGATTACTGCATTAATTGGAAATGGCCAAAGTCAGTGTTCCATGGACTGAGTCAGTGAGAGGTTGCCAGAAACAACGGTTCGTTAGGCAATACAGAGGTACTAGGAGACAGAAAACTATGCCATGAGGGCGTGATCAGGCCATCCAAGTGCGACAGGTCCACCTGATAGCTGCTTCAGCTACTCAGACCCTCTGAAACCGCTACTAGACTTCAGTTGAGACTTCTCATCGATTGTGTATTGCTCGGTGTGCAGATGTCAGCATGCACACAGTACGACGAAGGCTAGCTGAACTCGACCAGCACACTAGGGTTTCTCCTTACGGCTCTCTACTCACAGAAGTACACTGAGAAGCTCACCTTCACTTTGTTGTGAACATGCTGCCTGGACAGAAGATGATTTAGCCTTTGTTCTATTTTTGGAGTCCAGATATGACCTTTCTGATGCAAATGGGTGAGTTCGAGTGTGGATAAGACCAGGTTAGGTATATGCTCAATGCAATATAGTGGGAGGAGTGCTGTTCGGAGGAGGGCAGGCAATGGTTTGGGGTGAAATATGTGTAGTGTCAAGGACAGACCTTGATGTTTTCTGAAGGCCAACGCTCAGTGCTCACACCTACATAACCAACATCCTCAAGAAATACGTGGTATTTATACGCAGTACGTTTATCGCCCTCCATTTCCTTTTTATACCAGATAATGCTCGGCCGAACATTGAAAGTGTTGTATATGATTACCTGCATGAGGTAAGTTTCCGCATCTTGGAGTAGCTAGTTCAAAGCCTGGACTTCAATCCTTTTAAGCATCTTATGGACTAGTTTAGCATGTCCATCCATCAACTACAGAACTCTCCATGTGACATCCAAGTATATTAAATTGATCAGATTTAAGATGTGGTAACCACAATATGATTAGTATACCTAAGAGAGTGTAGGCCGTAATTCAAGAAATGGGAGGTAACACTAATTATTAGAGATTCAGATTTCATAATTAAAAAAGAATTAGATGCATTTTATTTTTATGTAAAAGCTTGTTCATGGGAAAGAAATAACGCAAAAATTTAAGATGTGCCAGTTTTTATGACCATCATTGTAGTTTAAAATGAAGATAATATTAAGTCTAATCTGAACGATATAAAATACCATAAAAGAAATTTATCCAGGGTCTACAGGTATCCAGAATATATTAAAAGAACATCTGATTGGGTCAAAGTAACTTAGAACTATTTGTCACAAATATATTAATAACAACAAAAAAGTCAGGAGAAATAAAATAAGGAAGACAATTTATTTTCATCATTACTAATAAAAAATGAATTACCTTAATAAATTGGAAAGTAGCAATTGGAGGCAAATGTTTAATGTATGGATAGTAGAAAGAACCAGCAGGGTGAGCTGGAAATCTACTAGTAATCCTATAAATTACTCCCTGAGGTTCAGTAGCCCAATTTGGAGCAGTGAAAGTAAAACCGTTGTCTGTACCAGCATCCAAAGGATCAACCTAAAATAATCAAGTTTGTGAAAATGAATTAATTGGAATGATAAAAATAATTTTAAAAAGTGAACTGATGGTTATCGCCACATTAATTCTAACACCCAACTCAATTTTTTATAAAAATGAGTTAAATAGCTAATAGGATTTTTTCATGTCTGATGATCAAATGGTAATCATGCATATGTCAAAAATATGTTTCCAAGATATTATAGAAAGGTCATTAGCAACAAAATTCAGTATTTTTTGTATAATGTTTCGAAAATTGAGTTAGGTGGTGTTAGAACTTTTAAGACAATAAATAATAATAATAAAAAGAGCATATGCTATATGCCATGAAAAATGTTAACCAAATGGAAATATAAAATAAAACACACCATTTAGTTCAAATAATAATAAAAAAAAAACCTTATACTTGGTGAAATTTTAGAAGGAAAGAGAATTCAAATCATCTTTATGTACTAAAAGCCACATGCATATGGACTGTTAACACATTTAGTAACTCAGTTAGTTGACTATTGAATATATGTGAATGAAAGAAGTCAGTTAGTTGACTATTGAATATATGTGAATGAAAGAATAAATATTTAAAATATATCACTCTACACCATTATCAATAGTAATAACTACATTTTCTAAACTGTTATTTATCACTTTATTTACTTGGATCTTCAAAAATTAAATTTAGTTGCTTTCTGTTTATGTGAAAATCAAATTAAAGATTTATTCTTAATTGATTGTCAAGAAAGTCACTCTATTAATTTTGTATAATTTTGGATCAACTAATAATTAATATATTTAATAATAAACAGCAAGATGAAAAAATCATCTAATAAAGGGGTCATAAAAAATCAAGAATATAATTAACTTAAAAGAGAATGTGTCAAAACTCATAGATTCCCAAGGAATATTTTAAAAGTATGTGAAGTTCGAACCTCTTTATTGACTTGACATTTTATTGTTTGTATTTTCAGAAGATATTAGATGTAGACATCTCAAGGTTGTTTGAGATTTAATAATATATTGTTTTAAGGAGTAAATTATTAGATTTCTGCTACGAAACTGGTGAACTGGCTATCTTTGAGCAACCTGGCCTGCTCCCTAGCCCTGGGTGGTTAGGAAGGGGACCCAAGACCCAAGGTGACCTTTATCTAAATATAAAATATAAATATATAATAAAATATAAATATAATAGTAGTTTAAAATATAAACTACTAAATATATTGCTAGTGGTTTTCCGACCTGGAGGACCAGGGTATGATTGCAGTCTGACGGCTGAGAGATGTAGTTGGCGTATCCCTCAACATCAATAGCCTCTTATGTTTTTAAAAGTATTTAGAAGGTTGAGTGAGACTTTTCATACTATTATATTCAATCACAAGAAAAATGAAATGATTTCTCTATATCGCTTACAGACCAAAGAAAATCAGAAAAAGAAAAATGGCACAATTTCTTCTTGAATTATCAAAGTCCACAATCTGTTGAGTCATGGTATTCATGAAGATGAGAAAATTTTGTAATCTAAACATCAATAAACTAAAATTGAATTACTTTAGTCCATTTTTTTTATTTACCCCTAGTTCACCATTCATGGCATGGGGGCAGTTTATTTTAGAGGTACAACTAATCCTGTTTTAACCAGAGTTAAAAATCAAGAGGTTAACAAAGTCAGAGGTAGGGATTCATTCTGTGGGTTCGCCAGAAGATAAATTTCAACCTAACCAGGCCAGTTTCAAACAGGCATAGCTAGACTCGAGAATATTAAAGTTTACTAAAAGTACTTTAATCTTTCTACTCCATTCAATTTAATGTGCAATATAGAGGAATTAAATTTAAAATATATCTTACCTCAATTGTTATTGTATCCAACCAGTTCCCGTCAACGCATAACTGAAAAGAGTCGAGACCAACAAACCAGTCAGGTGAAGGAATGATTCTTGACATGACAGATACCTGAAAAAAAATATTAACTGAAATAATAAATTGATGATGAATTATCAGATAAATTATTCCTTTACAATCTAGCATAACTATGTTTGTAATATAGATAATAGAGCTGAAAATAAAATATTTCATGAATCTGATTGGTCATCATAACTTGACAATAATATTATAAAACTAAATAATTTATAATTCCATAAAAAATTAAATGTAGTGAATTATTTAACACTTTTTCTCTCTAAAAGTGAATGGTAATCTAAAGCGATAATAATGGTTGTAATTGGCAAAGTTCTCTTAAAAAAACTTAATGTGAACATTCAATATTCAAATTTAAATTTACTTTAGAACTTTAAGCTTACCTTCAGGAAAATTAATATATATTCATATCTTTCTAAAAAATATATTCGGTTGAATGATTTCATTTTAATTTGTTTATGAAATAAATAATAAATTCTAGAAAAATAAGATTTCAGGATGTATATTTTTTACATTCACTTTTGATAAACCAAAGTGTTTACAAACCATTGTTTTTGGAAAAAAATAAATAAGAAAACACAAATTATAATATTTGGAATTTAATAAAACATTTTAAGGAATTAAACATATTAAAGCGATAAAAGTTAGTTTGACATTTTCTTCATATATTTGCCCAGTCATATCTCTCTCTTATTTGGTTGGTGTGGTTCACCATTGTCACCTGAATCGATTGTATAACAGTACCAATAAGTAGGAAATATCGAGTAATGTACAACAGCAATTTCGAAATGTTTACAGCAAAAATATCTGGATATAATTAAAGTGTTAATAATAATTACTCTTGTAATAAAATTTCAAATACGTTTTCCTGAGCACTAATATTACTATTCAATCAATCATTTTCGCTACCGACAGTTGGCGACATTACAAAGACCGCGGTCTGGCTGATTTAGTTCAGTTCATAATTCGTGTCGGGGATTTATATCATGGTTTAATAAGTTTTGTTTTTATGTGTGTTGTGTTATTTTAATGCTGGTTTTAATAATGTTCACTATATAGTGGTCTAATAAGTCATTCGTAACGTTTTAAACACCACATTCGTGTTATATTATTCAGTGCTGAATAATGGTTTTACTTTTTCAAATCTTAAAACTGTTGGATTTCCACCATATTGTTCTTTCACCAAAGCTCTCAATTCTCAGGTAAATTCCTTAAATTAATCATTTGTTCCTGATATCAGTAATCTCATTTAGAATATACATGTACAACATTTTACCATCTCAAATTCGAATATTGCCAATTTTTATAGTTATCTCCATGTAGTATGGACAACTAGGGAATTTTATTTAGTATATATATTTTTTGATTCTTTTGAAGAGCATTGATATGTCTCACTGATTTTAAAAATGTTATTAAATATTTCGTTATGATGTACCATACATTTTTATTAAGAAATTTATTGATTCTTAGATGAAAATGGTTAATATTTTTTATGGCAAACGATTTCCAATATGTACCACCAGAACCGATTAGATTTATACTAACAGCAGTTTTCATAACGTGTTACTACCTCAGTTCCTAGAACGGTTGTAACCTGATACCGGTTACTAATTCCTTACTAATTATTAAATGCTTTCATTTAGTTATTTATTCTTTCCAGGTGGCTTTATATCACTTGCCACATACGCCTGTATCAATTTTCAGTATTTTAATAATTCCTTAATATTAAAACCTGATATTTTATGTGTATTTTTAAGCTAATATTTTTTTAACGTTAAAATAACATTTAGTATATAAAAATATTTATCAAATGAATTTGGACCAATTTAGAATACAAAGTAATTATATTAAAAATTAAATGTTTTCTATTTTATACTTAGAATGTACATTACAATGTTGAATTAATAATCTTTTTTACTTCCTTCATTTCATCAATTTACATATTTAGTATGTTATTGTTATTAAAAATTTACAAATTAAATAGTTTTTGGTAGGTATGAAGTATAATGAATAGTTTTTGCAAACAAATTTAAAATAATTGGCCAACTACCAAAGAGCGCAATTAACGCTCGTTAAATGGCTACAGCAATTACAGGTAGGGTCCCACATAGGTAAATGGTGTTTCTAAACTCAGAGTTGAATTTATCAATCGATTGCATTCAGTAACGATAGACAGCAATTAATTTGAGTTTAGTGACGACCTGGTGGATTTGAGACAAAGGCTGATACTCTTGTACAGATTGCAACAAAAAGGGTTGTATGAAATCAGAGATTTTTACCTAAAGCTAATAATTTGAGACAACCTTTCATTATATATTTAACTCCTTAATATAATTTTGTTATTTAAAAATCAAACTTACGCTATTAAAAATCTGAAGACAATGGTACAAGAAAATTTAAAATAAAGGTATAAAAACTTTTATAATTTCTTTGAATTTTGTAGATTTCAAACATTGGTCTCTCAAAAACCATTAAAGTCAAATTTTTTAAATTTTAGGTATGTCAAATAATATTTAAAAAAATAAATAAAGCTACTGTTTTGCTGATTTCAAGATCTAGGCCTCAAGTTATTTGCAATGGAATGTTTCTATTTCGATTCCTGACTTCTAATAATGTTATCTTTTTATCAATGATTGGGCTCGGATTTGAAAGATTTATCCTTTCTTTTTCTGTTTAATGGAAAACTCTCTTAATAGATCTCAAAAGATCTATGCATATCTTGAATAGTAGATTTAAAATACAAAATCCTATAGGGTCTCTTTTTGCTATTTCCCAACAAAAATATTTTTTTTGTAATTTTGAAAAAAAACACATGGGTCTTCATTAAGAATATGATTCAATTGAATATATTCTCGAATTATCACGTATACTTTTACGCTTAAATGTCTTATTATATCAATTTAAGGAAAAAAAATAATATTCTTACTTATTATTCATATTCGGATATTTGTCTAGAAAGCATTAGTAAGTAATATTGAAGAAAACAGAACATCTGTGTTTTGAGTCTGAGGAAGTTATCAATTTCCTACTTTGATTCAGAGAAAGATCGGATGTTTACACTCGGCGATTCATTTGATTCGATTATCTAAGTTAATGCAGTACAGCCTGCATTTAACATTCTGAAATAAATTAAAAACGATTCCCTCCATTATTGAATTTCCGACAACCTAATATGGGACTCTTTTCTGTTTTTAACATTTTTAAAATAGAAATGTAAAATATTCGTTACCAATACTCTGGAAAATGAAAAATTCCATCATTATTTAATTTTAACGAAAGGAACATTAAAATGTTACAATTACCTTTAAAAATAATTACTATTAATACAATATGGTTAAAATCTTAGATAATACATTATTTTCAAGATTTTAGAAAATATGTTTTGCCATAAAAATGTAAATATTTAAGAAATTTCCTAAATTAATCAATTAATTCAGCGCATTAATTTATTCATTTATTGAATCCGCTGGACGACCTTTAGTGCTACGTTTCAATTCACTCCACGGGCGGATCTATGGGAGGGGGGGGGGCTTTCGGGCTAAGCCCCCTGCAAAATGGTAAAATATAACCATGTTTTATGGAAAAATATATTAAAAAATTATCTCTTAAAGTATTATTGTTCGTGTAATTATATTTAAAAGGACTTAAGGTATCACTTAAACACCATTTCATATAGATAATTAGTTTCTTTCTTTTTTTCCGAAGTAACTATCGTCATTTTTATGAAAAAAAAGCTTTCGGGCTGAAGCCCTTCTCCCTCCCAAAAAATTAAATCCTGGATCCGCTAGTGATTCACTCCACACATTTCTATGTTTACTTTCTGTCTATATGAGCCAATTCATAAACTCAGCTCTGAACTCATCGATGACATCGAATCCGTCTTTACTCTGGGAGAAACGACAATATTGATGAGCTCAGCGCAGAGTTTAGGAACTTGGTCTATTTATATCTGTTTTGAAATACTACAATCCAGTAGGTGAATATTTCTTTAACATACTTTTTTTTTATTGTTCATGTGTTTAGTGACTTTCAGGAGTGTTAACCTGAATAGGAACCCCCTCCCCCATCAGGCCGTTCCTAAACTGATCTTAAGTCTATGTCCATTGCTATTGGACTTAATAGATTGATGTAATTGATGGAATTAGCGCTATGTTTAGAAACGTACTCTTTTTGTTATTATGTAATTTTAGTTCATAAAATTCTAATTTTTGTAAACATTATGGCTTAATGCTCCTACTCAGTTTTACCATGTTCATTTATGTTTAACAATGTTTAAACTCTACAAATAATTTTGTTTTACTATTTTTAATAAATAGGTTATGATCTTTTTTAGATCTAAAAATTATTTTTTATTAGCCATTTCTTGGTAAATTTAGATCTTCATGAAAAGAAAATGAACTTCAATAATTTTATTATGATACATAGCTTATTATAAACCCAGTTTAGTTTAACTAAGCCAGAATCATCAGTCATTTTAATAATACAATTATAAAAGTCAATACCAATCACTTGTTTAAAATTAAAAATCAAAGGCAACGAGCAGTATTTTACTTTTTTTAAAGCCTTCGTGTTTTAAACCCTTGAGGTGGTCGAATTGGGGCAGTTTTACTTCTATGGAAGAAGAAGGTATTTCAATTTATGATAAAATGCGTAATCGAAATTTGAATTATAGACTAAATAAATAAATCAGCCATTAAATTGTACATTTTTTTTTCTCTAAGAAAGTTTCAGGAGCGATACCATTAATTTTAAAATAACACAAAAAATATTTTGTATATTTTAGGTCAAAACTTTTTTTTATCTCACACTTTTTATTCCAATACTTTTTATTTTTGTTTTTTAACTTATGAATATTACTTTCATTTCTAAATCTGGTATTTAATATGTAATTTAGTTAATTATTTCAACCGACCTCTTTTATTTTACTTGGATAGTTTTAAAAAAAAAAGAGAGAAAAATAACATGAAAAGAGCACATAGAGGAAATTTGTTGAGAACAGTGACGCCACAGAAACATGTGCTGGTTTGCGAAGTCACAGGAGGCCTCCTACAATAGTAATACTAGGTTTGGGTTCCCTCCTGTTTTGGATGTGGGTATTTTGATATTTTATTTATATTGTCATTTAGAGATATTGAATTAAACCTTCAACCTTATAAACTCTAATATTATTTGTGATAGTATAATTTATATTCAAAACTGAAAGTTGTTTATTAATATAAAAATATTTTCTAGACAAATATGATATATTTCGGGGAAAGGGATGGCTCAGAAGGTATTTAAATAGGGAAGGGACTCTACAACTATGACAATGGTATTCCAAATAGAAAAATTCTTTTACATTTTTGTGTAACTTTTTTATGGAAATATGTTTTGCTCTACAAAAGAATGGTAATATCGAGCATATGGGATGATCTTACCCTGGAATGGTTGCCGTCGGCGAAGAAGACGGCTTCCGTTCTTCCTTGCCCGGAGGGCACAGGTGGGCCTGAGAAGTGGTCCAATCCTCCAGGTGGAGGTTCCCACCGCCCTGCTTCTGCGAACTCTTTCACTTCTGGAGATGATCTCCTCCCGACTCTGAACAGCATGTAGGATTTGTCGTGACTCACTCCTGCAACACAATAAAAATAAAGAATGAATTAATAAATATATCTCAATCTCGTTGTTTAGGAGGTTTAATTAATTTTTGCTTACTAATAAAGCAGCTGTATTAGAGAAATATCGAATGCCGTAAAATTCAAATATTTTACATTATTACATAATATAAAACAGATTAAGTAATAAATTAAATTTTTTAGAGGAGGGAGGTGACGTCATAGCCCGAGGGCGCCGAATGCCTAAGGCCTGTGCGTAAATAATGAAAACGCTTATTAGATCAAAATATTGCTACTTTATTTATGTATTTTAAGCCTACGTTTCACCCCTTTGACCATTTTCAAGGAAAGAACCTATTTTAAAATAAAATTTAATTTATCCCATCTGAATTTAATTTAAAATAGGCTTCTTTTCTTGGTAATTGCCTAAGGGCTGACATATCGGTGTTGAGAAAAAAATAAAGTAGGAATATTGAGATCTAATAAGCGTTATTATTAGTAAAGAATGGATTTAAAGAGAGTTTTTAAAATTCTCGTTCGTTTAGATTCTAGTAAACAACATAAAAATTGGGATATTCAATCGTCTGATTAATAAATATAAAATAATAGTTTCTACCATCATATGAATCCAATATAGTTATCCTGAAGTCACTGGAATAAAATGTAAAAACAGTAGTAAAAACGAATGAGGATGGTTGCTGCCAAAACCCAAGCAATCCTACTAAAGGGCACGACTGAAAGGGAACATCCAATCGCTTTAGAGATACAAGGAAAAACGATTAGTCCAAGTGAAGTGGTAACCGACCTCGGCGTAAGATTTGGAAGAAAGTTTAATATAACTCCCCACTTTCTGTGGCCTTTTTTTTTCTTTTGTACTTTCCTTTTAGGATATATATGATTTTCCCGGGCCGGGGGGTGAGGGCGGGAAATTTAAAATCTCCTCCGGCACCGGTATGCGAATTCATACATTTTTTAATCTCATAACTTCGGTTATCTGGTTGCCGGGCAACCCGCGGTGATGTGCACACGCGTTAGCCCATTCGGCCACTCTGCCTCCCATTTCTGGGGCCTTAGATACCCAGCGACCAGGGCTATCTACAAAGGAGTGGTGCTGAGTATATTAAGGTATGCATCCCCCTCATGGTACCTGAACCTCCCCAAGCGAAAAAAGAGTTAGCATCTATCCAGAGGACGGCTCTGCTGCGGGTCACCAGAGCAATGTCTCACGCGTAAGTGCATCAAATATGCCTATAGAAGAGAAGGCTTGGCAGGGATTCCGGAGGACCTTCGAGTGAAGATTGAGGAACGGCCCAATGGATGGGAATCAATGTTGAGAGAAGCTACTGTCGAAGAGTGGAACAGGCGGTAGATCATTACCAAGGGGGCTTCCCTAAGGTAGTATTTTCTTACCGTACAGTTTCGACTAGAAGCCAGATGGATCGAAAAGACTATTGGGTCTCTCGATTCCTCACTGGACATGGGGGTTTTCGTGTCAAATTACACAGTCTTGGACAAGACATCGATCCCCTATGCTCCAGTGGTGGTATTTCGGAAACTGCCGAGCTTGTGATTACCAGCTGCACTGCTTTTGAGGGACTGAGGTCCAAGCTAATGAGGAGCAGAAGTATCAACAGTATCAACGAAGGTGATTTGCCTCTTCTTGTCACTGCAGATAATTACCCATACTACGAGGCATTCGTGGATGTTTGGAAGGAACAAATAGGCGCAGCCCATTTCGATATTGGAATTAGATGAAAACTTCCACAGTCTCAATTTGGGGCGACTCCAAGATAAAAATATAACAAGAAAAGAGTTAAATTTATTATTGTATAAAAACGGAATCATCAGGCGAATCAGAAAGCGGCAGTTTATGAGATGTAATTAGTTAAGACTGACACAAAAACAAGAAGTCTACTCAATCATTTTTAGGTGTTCTATAAAGAGAATATGAGTAAAAGTTCCTCAATTTGTTTAGTTGTTTTAATAAAGCATCTTAAAGCATTTATTCTAAAATTTAGAATTTTACCATTGACGCGAGGCGATAATTAGTGGTTGATGGCTTTATAAATAATAATAAAAATAGTTTAATCAGGTTGAAACTTCAGTTAGTTTCTCATAGCTTAATAGTCAATTATTCTCCAGAATGTGTCTCTGTTTATTATTATTATTATTAGTACCTTTTAGCTCATGAAAACGTTGATGACCCTAAGGTTTTATGCCTTAAAACCCCCAAAAACAAACTTTTTAGCTCATCAGATAAAAACTTTTGATTATAATTTTATTTTTAAAATGTGAAGAGGATCCCGCATTTCTCTAGAATGTAATTTAATTTAGTCAAGTCGACTTGGCTCCAGTCTTTTCTTTCTATAAACATTTCGTTACTAATTACGTATGGTGGAGTGTATTTACATCACATCTTTCTGAGAAAGATGCTTTTGTTCTCAATTTTAAATGTCAGGAACTGTTCTAAAATTAGAGAACAGTCAACAATAACTTTAATTAATCAACAAAAGGTAATTAGGGAAGGGAACTTTTAACTTTTTCGTTGTCCGTAATTATCTTGTTAAATGTATTATTTTCATTTGACTCTTTCGATTATATTTATGTACTGACAGCGTGATGGATATTTTTTCAGTTTAATAATTTGTCCCTATTTTTATCTAGTTTACAAGAATCCTTGATTCTGTTGGTTTTAGGTGTCTTTTTTCCGATTTATAGGAAGTGGCATAAGCGAAATATGTTAATTCACATGTAAAATATAATGTTTTCTAGATAATTTATCCAGCACATACAATCTGTGAAACTTCAGAGTTTATCATTATTTCAAGACTGTTAAAATAACAATTTACTTAATGAGAACTTGCGCCACTGGAAATATCTGTCTAGTTTAATAATTAAGCAATACCCACACAGCTATCTCTGAACTTATGCACATCTATTATTGTACTAGTTCATGACCTATTTGTTTGGTGCAACAGAACCTTGCTTTGTAGTGTTCTCATTGAGAGTACAGAATTGAGTTCTCATTTTAATTATGTACAAACTCAATAAAATTAAAATATTCAACAGTGATTTCTACAAAAATAAAAAAAAAAAAAACTGGATAATTTTAGCTCACAGTCAAAATGATACAACTCACTTCCTAACAATTTTTAAACACTACTAATTTAGTTCAACACTTTGTAGGCAAGCCATTATTTTCTACAACTCCTTTCCGTCTGTTTGTAATTGAACTGACGGATTTTTTGGTGATTCCGGGCTTAGGCTGTTCCATTCTCCTAGAAGATATATTTAAAAATATTATTTGCAAGAAATTTCGTGTTTTCTAATTTTTAGCTCCAATTTCGCCCATAGGTGTTCTATTGCATTATGATCTGGGGACTGTGGTTTTATATTTTTGGCTCAGTTATAAAGTAACCATTCCTTAGCTAGCATGGCAGAGTATGGTTATTATCCTGATAAAAATAAAATTTATTTTTAGCCCAACTCTCCACAATTTCTTTCAAGTTCCTTCTCAAAATATCTATTAAAACACTATACGATGTGAATATTACGTTTATAAATTGACGATTTCGTACTCCAGAAGCCGTAATACATCCTCACATCAAGACACACAACATAAGAAAATAACACTTTACCAGGATGTTTATTGTTTACAATAAGTTATTGTTTTTAATGTAGTATAAATGCAACTATTTATATATTCAATAAGTTCTACCAATATCAAGGTGTATCATTTTGACTGTGAGCCACTGTATGTTAAGTATACCATGGCAACCATGGAACCAAAGAAGATGCTTTTGGCAAAAATTACGACGTATCTCGAAAACGGTACTGTTTAGGGCTTTAAAACGTAGGGTCTGATAGTTCCCATAGAATACCAGGTCTTGATTTCCACTTCAAAATCTTTAAAGCGCAGTTTATCACATCTCGATTTGACGACTTTTGAAATCAAATGAATTTTGAAACTTCTAAGTTTTTCGATGGCTTTTATTTTAGTTGCAATTATATCTTTAGTTTTGAAATTGGCAATCAGCACTTCCTCCATTAAATTCCTTTTTTTTATACTTCATTCATCAACATCCATCGCTCCTGAGAGCCGGAAAAGGGATCTTTACTAGCATTATAAATAAGTTACACATATTTCTGACATACAATTTATCTACTACTGTGTTCAGTGTATTTAGTGTAGATTATTGACAATTGATATAATAGCTCTATAAATATACTCATCTCTCCTATTAATAGATTAATGATAGAAAATATATTTATTGTACAGTGAACTTGTACGGACTTGCTTCCTCGCCTTAGCTAGTAGGCCTGTGAAACTCGTCCCGGCTGCCTGGGGCTGGCAGGGCTGATTGATTAGAAACTAAATCGCCTTTTGCCGACTCATATGAAAGAGAACACTTATTTCTACTTTGATGTAGATCGCTCTGAGTGGCAATTACGTCGCTAACCTCATCGAACCCATTTATCCTTTGGTCCCATGTTAACTCTTCTATAAATATTTCTCTTGGACGGGACCCTTTAGATCGGAGAGGGAGATGGTTCTGTTATTGCAGTATCTTTGGATCTATAGGGGTAAAAATTATGTTCAAAATTTGCTTATTAGCTACATAGCGTAGCTTGCTCAATGTTTTATCACGTATTACGGAATAATGATTTAATGTTTCATTACGATTTATTAAATGTAATATTGAAACAATTCATTTATTAAGAAAAAAAATCTGGTTTGTCCACTCACACGACTTTCCTACCTATTTCAGAAAAGTTTTTATATGTTTACATATGTCCATCAAGAAACAAAAAGAATTAAATTCGATTTATCTTCCTGAAAATTGATCAAAGAAAAGATTTGAGTACGATTTATTTGATAAACTAAAGCAATGTAAACCGGCATAAGGCAGATCAGTGTAAACATTTCAATACCTTCTAATATTATTGATCAAAAACATTTTTCCATAGCCTAATTTTGTCAAACAATAATTTCTGTTAAAAGTAGAGGTAATAGTGAAG